ATCGAGCTGAGAAGCGAGATGACAAAAGAAAAGGCAACAAGGCATTGAGGTAAGCCATTTTTATTGCAAAAAAACCAAAATTTCAGCTATAATGTTGATTACCATTTTTCCCCATACAAATCTTTATAAATTCAAACTGTCGTAACACAACACCACCATATGCTGCGAGGTGAAGGTCACGTTTCATGTAACCAAACTCGGTCATTATGTAATAGTAAATGTTGGCAGTAACTTGGTCATGTTTCGCACGCTGTACGTTCGCATAAAGATTTAAAAAAAATATTAACTCCTTGCATTGTGAGCTTGCGCCCCCTGTGATCCATGTGATAGATTTTGCATCTCTTTAACTCTTCTTTGTAACATATCCTTGATTGCATCTTGTTAGAAAGTGCGAAACTCAACAAACTTCCAAACAAACTGTGAAGCAACTTCCCTGACGGCAGAGATTCACTCATCACACGATCATGAATTCGTCATCTGCAGTCACTTTTTTGGAACGACATGAAGGAAACCAACGGTGCCTGTAACAGCCTGAGAAAAAGTCCATTTCAGAGGATGTCTGGGATCAATTAGTATTTCGCAATTAGAGTGCAGTGGCTGTCCATCGTCTACAAAATGGCGATGTGTTTGTTTTCCCGCAATTTTGGAGGAACATTTAGATATAAATGGGATAATTAAATTAAATTCCTGAGAAGACTACATTGAAACAGTAGGTCATTAATGGTGTTTTGACTTCAAAAACCTAAAATTATTGAAACTAGTGAAACAATCTCAGATAGTGCAGAGTGCAATTGATGGCTCTGGCACGGTAGTCCCGTAAGTACTCACTCCTGCTCGGTTCACTTCCAGTTTGTATCTACCTTGGTAGTCTGCTAGGACTTTTCCCCTTAGCAGTGAGTATGTTTCAAGGTTGTATTTTCATTCAAGGTCCAAAAATTATTTACAATTACTGTTTGTCACAACAGCTTTTTAATTTTACTCTAGTGTTATGCGACGATTTTCACTCATTTTAAATTCAATAATACGTTGAACAAATGTGACAATTTAGCTCTTCGTGCCAACTTTGTAACTTGATACTTTTGTTTTCCTTGTAAAGGTATGTAACATGAAACCCTTGTTTTGTCCAAAACACATGGAGGATGAGCTTGTTTTTTGGGGATAAATGAAAGAAAGTTAAATATCTGACAAAGAAATAGAAAAGAAATGATTTTGTTTTTTCTCAAAACGCAAATTTTGTTATCATGGATGAACAGGAACTAATTTAATTATCAGATAGTCATGGAATACCACTTTCTGTTTTTGTTGTCACCTTTGTTGTTAACAATAAAACAATTCAAAATTAATACAGAACAATACTGATTGATACCACTGGGAAGCGTTTCAATGAGAAGTATTCTGTTGTAGCCTAACAGTGTGTGCTGGTTAACAAACTGGTGGCTGCTTTGTCTTTTCGAGATGTCTGTGACGAGGATTTAGATAAAGTTTTGACTTTCTATTCATGATAGCTGATGAGGGCAACTATCATGCGATATAAATCTCCAGCTCATAATCCCATTGTTAAATAGAAACACCAATCAGCACACAAATTTCTGTTGGGCTTTTTTCTAATTCGTCATGTAAATGGTCTTGATGGAAGCATGAGCAAGGATTGTAATTCCTTCCCCTTCCCTTGTTCCTGTACCTTCGTTTTTACCGCTCAGTTCAAGGTAGTCAATCGAGAAAATCAATAGCTTAAAACTGACGAATAAATCTATAAATTGAAAGTTTGAAGGGGCTAGCTGTAACATAGTGAGATTCTCATTGAGAATCTATTTACAGGAGACCACGAGTAAGTTTTCATGCAATGTTATTCTTGATTTTATGGTTCAGTTACAACACATTTGGTGACCATACCAGGTTTATTCATTGCAAGTCTATTTATCACCAGATGCTAGTTACTTTTCCTTTTGTAAGATAAGCTAGTATGGATAAATTCCATATTTATTGATAAAATTGATAACACTAATTGAAAGTCAGATTACTCACCATGAAACCTTTTATTGATTTTATTGATTTCTGGTAATGGTTAACTACTTTGTATTGATTTTTATTGAATATTATTGATTATCAATTATCAAAACTAATCAAGACCATAACTGAATAGGAGCAAGATTTCTAGATAACCTCATGCTTATTGATGACGCAGACAACCTCTGTTGTGCCCTTCTCTTGTGTACCCTTTTCCCCTATTTTTTGCACATACTGTATTCCATGTAGGTTTAACAAATTGATGTCAGTTTTTTATACGTCTGTCCTCTTATTGATGATAAATTGCGCCATAACATTGTCAAAGTGGTTGTGGAACCAGGAGCCACAGG